AATGGAGGAAATGGGAAAAATCGTCTAGCATCAGTTTGTAAGAATCGGATAAAGTCAACGCCATTTATTACAGAATCCGTTCGTTTCAAGGAATTTCCAATTTTCAATAACAATGCGTTTAAAAATAAAAATAAATGCTCTGACTTTGTATCTTGGTCCCCCCCCATCTAAATAGAACGTGGAAGTGTAAAGTTTGGCTTTTCGCAAAGAGGAATTGACGCGACGTGTTCGAATTCTGTTCACAATCGTAGAAGTAACTGCGGAGAAGTTACAAATAATTCCCTATAATCTGGGTTAAATACCAGCACTGACTGGAAAATCTTGACTTGGCTGGCAAACAGTCTTGGAGAAAGGCACTTCTGAATTCAATATATGAGCGTATGACTAAGCGGTTCGAACTTTCGCTACCCGACTGTGGGACTGGGTTCAAATCTCAACACGGGTGAAGGAAAGGAAAACGGGATCCCAGTATGTACGTTGGAAAATATCTCGAGAACTGTACTACAAGTTTAGCAAAGTTTCCCGAATTAAACTGGATAGACGGTACTGTCCGTCGATGCTTATGGTAGGCACGGGCCATCGTTGAATTGGGCATACAGGCGTGTTTACATCGGTAGATCATGCGAACTCTCCCAGAAATATAAATTATGGTTGAACAAACACAGACGTGACTGGGCATTTATGCTGGACATGCTTAGAAAATAAAACATTCCTATAACTCTAGATAGATACATTAAAAACATCCATACATTCAGTTAAAATTAAAAAATAACATCATCCTTCATAATGGCCAAAAGTTCAATTTACTTTATATATATATATATATATATATATATATATATATATATATAATTTCACATGGCCTGACGATTGCGTCTAGCATGAAACAGACTGTCGCTCTAAGTGTTGACTTCTATGTTCACCTTTATATTTACACATGCTCTATCTCTGATATTGAGCACTTTTATCCCATAAATATAAAGACATCTTAATTCTATAATTTCTATTATTTCTTTTATATATATATATATATATATATATATATATATATATATATATATATATATATATATATATACAAAGAAATAATCACACATAGAATCAATCAGAAGTATTAATGCGATTATTGACGACATCCATCGCTAGAAAACATAATATATGCATTAAAATACTGTTAATCCATAGAGCGAAGAAGTGATCCTCGTCGATAAACTTGATGTCTGTAGTTTTTAGTTTATTTGATGTTAAAATGCTAGTACTTACGAATAGTCCCTCTATTCATCATCAGGCATGTGTTTTTTTTTATAAAAATCAAAAATGAATTGAAGACAAAATAATTGTTTGTCGACCGAAAGATGTTTTTTTGAATATCTGCTATTATTGACGGTTGTGTAAGATCTCGAACGTGCAAAGACGCAATGCTAAGTTTTTCAAAATTTTAAGTGAGAATTTTATTTAAATATTTCTTGTGATGTGTTAAATCCATTTATTCTATTTTTACATGTGTATTCAGTTTTTTATGTCATGAACTAAGTATATAGTTCAATAATATAGTGTAATGTCTTAGTAGTAGTTTTTTTATAGGAATTTTTATGTACTGCGGATCGATAGTTTTTATAAACATAAAACATTAGGCAGCATATAATTTTACATACAAAGAAATAATCACACATAGAATCAATCAGAAGTATTAATGCGATTATTGGCGACACTATTCGTAACAAACTTGTTGACAACACTAATATATTAACATCATGTACATGCAAAAAAATAAGGCTAAAAATTATAATTTTATCATATAGGCAAACCGTCTATATGAAAAAATTATAATAAATAAATAATTATCGTTCTAATATCAGTTTTGACCCCTCTTTTGGATTAATGCTGTGAACGTTATAATCTATATATTACTTTCGTTCTGGTTGCATCGGATATATATATATATATATATATATATATATATATATATATATATATATATATATATATACACAGTGCTGTTCGATAAAAGTGACTCACCTGATTTTTTTACTAAAAATATTTTTTGTCTATTGTTTTGGGGGTTAAAATAATTTTTAATCTTACTAATATAAAGACCCCTTCCTGACCACCTAGGAAAAAAGTTTATTCACCCTAAGGTATTCTATTGATAATTTAAAAGTTTGGATATAAATGAGAATCAGGAAAAAACTCTGCGCAAAAAAACATGTGAATCACTTATTTCCTGCAACTAGTAATCAATAGAAACATAACCGAACAGCTTTAAATAAAGAATAATAGAAGTATAAGACAGTAGAAGACGACCCCCCCTCACATTTCCCTTTTGGCCTTGTGCCACATTGTGTGTCCATTACAAATAAATGATGCTCTTTGCTATGGCACATAAACTTTATGAATGTAAGCGGTCCCTAGTCAACGAAAATTTGTTTGAAACGTAAGATAAAAATGCATTTAATGTAAGATATTATTTAATTAGAAAAGCTTTTAATTGAATTTATTTACATTATGAACACTATTGTATGAAGAAAAAAATTCGATGAATAATGAATTTTTGTAAGAACTGTTTTCATTTTTTAGCAATTTTAATTAGAATAATAAGTTTTAAATCTTTTAAATTTCTGTATTATTTTCTACCGGTTACCGGTGATATTATTATTAAGTCAAAAATATATTTACTAATCATAAATGGAAAAGCTTACAATTCAGCAACAATCAATATTTTAAAAAAGAATTTAAAATTAACTTGTATGTATATAAACGTTCGAGTTTTTGTAAATATGGACGCCCATAGGCGATATTATCAAAAAATTAGAGCGATAAAGGATAGTAACTTTAAAGCCAATGTACCTAAAATTTAATAAAACTTGAGATTACGAAGAATATTTTCGTTAATTTTCAAGATTATTTGTGAATTAAAAATGATAATAAAGACGCTTACACTATATTCCTCAAGTAATTTTTACAAATATTTCCCCCGTAGAAGAAAAATAGATAAACATCTGTCAAACGCTTAACCTACCAACACCTTAAATACACAACTACCCCCATGTTAAGAAATGCATTTCTGTATATAAAACGATTTTGTATATAATGGTGGAGTAAGGGATAGCGGCTCGGATTGAGAAATCGGAGAGCCGAGTTCGAATTCCAGTCAGATTCATTACATTACGTGCTAATACTATTGGGAAAAATTATGAATCCTCTTCTTCTCTCCCCACAGCTCTGGCTAAATAACAAGATTCTGTAACCTTGGATGGTAACTGGTCTCCCGCAGAAAGAAATGGGAACCTACTGCAGGAAAAAAATCTGCATCGTCAGTCATGTATCGAAAGATACATGATCGCTTAAGCGTGTATCACGCATGGCACATAACTGACTGATATTAATCCAAGTTGAATATTTTCCAAGCATAAATTTAAAAATTTCTTTCTTTTTGTCATAAGCACGTAATCTCAGCTCTTTTAAATTTTACCTAAAGGAAGCTAAATTTAAAGAAAAATATAACACGCGGTATTTTCGTTTTTCGTTTATTGAGTCAGGAATTGGTGCTTCAGCTGCAGTGTTAATTTGTTATAATTTCGGTAAAGACGCCGTTTCGTCTGTGATTGCGTTTCAATGATTGGAGCAAAAAGAAATTGGAAAAATAATTTAAAAAATAGCAAAAATATAAAAAAAAAATCAAATGCAAGGAAATAGGAAAAAAAACAAACACATACACACACTAAAAAACAAAGATTTTTAACTTAATTTCTAACTCCGCTGAGAAATATCTATTAATCACACCAACAGTCACTTTGTTCGATACATTTGATCGTATCCTGGAGCAGGCTTATCTAGCATATATTTCCACGTATAAGGCGATCTATAGATAAGACGAGACCCAAAAGGTAAGTTTTCCTTATTTTCGTATATACATGGCGTCCGTCGGTTTCGAGAGAGAATTGATCTGCCCCAGAAGTGATGCCTCAGCTGCCCAGTGCAGCGCAGCATCAATTATAGCTATCCAGGTTCACACGGGAGTGACAGTCTCGATTACAACCAATCCATGTGAAGACTCTCCCACCACCGATGTCGCCGTGTCGTTTTCTACCTTTCAAACATTCTTCATCCCGGCGGCAAACCCTCGTTTCTTTTCTCCTCGCTCTAGCCCCTCAGTGTAAATCACGTCTCCAGCGGGAGCGATCATTTGCGACGTCTTCTCACCTCCTGATGTCCATGTCCATCACCCGCATGTTAGTTTTACATACTTGAAGCCAAGATGGGTTCGCTCTTGTGTCCTCTTGTCGATGGCCATTTCCCCATGTGGAAGGACAATCGGAATCCTCCTATCAGTCGACTGTTACTTCCCGTATTTTACCGTCGCGGTGAGACGACGCTGGAGTTTCCTCTCCAGGGCGCAGGCCTGGGCAGGATTTTATGAGAGATCGGTGCTGGAATATTCAACGTCTGCTCTCTCCACGTCACCGATGTTATCTAAGGGAAAGGTAGGATCCAATACAGCTTGGCACCGGCGTTGTCGCAGAATTTGCCAGAACGAAGATGAACCTAACATTAGACTAAGGGGGTCTGGTTCCAGATTATCCCTCAGGGTTTACTCCCGAGACCTTTCTCATGTTTGGGCATAGCCGCAAGAAAGCGGAGATTTAAATTCAGAGTTTTCCTTTTTTTAAACCGTAATATAAGTCGACGTAAAAAGTGAAAAAATAACAAAAAAATGGGGAAAAACTATTCACTAAAGCGTTTCTTTATTGTAGACGTATTCATTACGAAAGGCATTCGACACGCAGTCTCTGACTGTGTGCGACGTCTGTCGAACTCTCTCCTTTGGCAGCGATGAACCCGGACGAAGCCTTGCCGAGAGGTCAAAATTTCGTCCAGGGAGGTAGATAGATCCCGAACACGCTGATGCGGGTTCAAAGGGGATATTTTTTGGCTGAGCCTACGGGCTCGGAGAAACCCACGTTAAACCAGGCCTTGTGCCACATACATTCCTCGTTGGG